GTGAGGGGGGGGGGGGGGCGCCAAACGGGATAGGCAATAAAATAAAGAGCTCATTACCGAATTATGTACAGTCGAAATAAAGAATGTTGACTGCTTCTTTGCATTACGGACCAGAGGCGTAGGAACCCTTCCCGGCGCCCGGGGACAATCTTTCAATTTGGCGCCCCCCTTGGGATCAAATTTTCGATTTGCACCCCCCCCCCCCCCTTCCAGCAAACTGCAAAAATGCAGCTAAATGACATTTTAATTTGTTTTTAAAACCCATTTTGGCGCCCCCTAAGGTCGGCGCCCGGGGACATATGTCCCCCCTGCCCCCCCCCCCCTCCCCATCGCTACGCCTCTGTTACGGACTTATTTAATTGTAATCTACAGCAATTGTGTGACACCAACATAAAAAGGCAAGTGAATGGTAAAAAGCGCCCCGACTTTTTTAAATGAGGGAGGTGGGGGCGCATTTTTACCTACGCGAATACTTAAATATTAATCTAATTTGAAGAGGGGGCGCAAAGTTGATAGTTCGTCTTTGGACGAATTTATTGCTACGCCTCTGTGTATAGTCTAAGATAATGAAGTTATTAATTAATAGGTAATTTTTTATATTGTCGATTTCACTTTTTTGCGCCAACCCCCACCTAGTTCGCCTTATAGGTAGCGCCGGCCCTGGTCGGACTCGTTAAATATTAGTTTAAAAAATACGTCTACAAAGCTAAAGTGTTTAAGTATTATTAGATTAAAGCTTTCTTTATTTTCCTAGGCAATACTACATTAAAAGAGAAAACAACGAAATACAACGAATCTAAGTTAAAATAGACAATCTGGTATCTTCTTGGTGACTAATTTAAGGTGAATACACATGTTTTGTTCTCTTAAACATTAGAGTTTTTTTTATTTTGCTTACTAGTTACAAAATCCTGTTATTGCAAACGTAAGGGACACATTCTACAATCACAAGTCGGGACAAACTAAGACAAAATTATGTTGCCATCATTTCTCTAGGCGAGTCATTCGTAAGGTTTTATTTTGTTTCGAACGTAATGCTATATTAAAGTGATAAACATAATTCATAGCGAAAATACCACGACTATAGGTTCATAAAATCGGTGTCTAACGTAGTTAAATAGAACTAGATGTTACAATCCTTATAGTCTACTGTAAATCTCAATGACTTTGGTTTATCCGTAACTATTTTAATTAATATCGAATATAATTAAGAGGGATATTGATCAGCATTCACGTTTCCATGAGGACCCTACATTTGGTTAAGCTCTATCTGGACGATGTTGTCGTTTTTTTTGACGAAGAAATGGCAATAAGACTACTTTCATTCTTCTTGTGTATAGTACGATGTTAACAATTTGCCGAGTTTTAGCTGTCTTGTAACAAAATATTAAATATGACCATTATGTTATTGCAATACGAATTTTGATCTAGTGTTAAAGGTAGAATATTGTAAGATGATGTTAACTAACGCATGGTTTTAAAGTTGACGTGTAAACATTTAACTGCAAAAAGCAATTTTTTCCTAGTATGTATTGAAATACTTAGCATGTCCTAGTTCGTATGGTTACATATATCTCTTGACTTCCACAAATATATCTCATAAAAATGGTTCTCATTATTCTGTTGTCGTATAGAGTCTTAAAGGAAAAGCAAGACCAGCTAAAACAAATCCTAATATAGATTTAGCTACGATTAATTCTTGTATTAAACTGTCCTTCTAGTAATCTGCAAAAACTTTTCGAAAACAAAATTGCTAATAATTAAAGAAGATAATAAAATGGTAACTATTACTTACGCAATTCTAAATCTGAAAAATATAAAATAAACAATTTTAGTAAACATAATAAAAATCGACAACGCAAGACCAACTTTAAAAAAATACCAAAATAGTTTTAGGTAAGATTAATGCCTGTATTAAACTGTTTTATTAGTAACCTGCAAAATCTTTTCGAAAACAAAACTTCTTATAATTAAAGAAGACATTAAAATGCTAATTTTTACTTAAATTTTTCCGAAACTGAAAAATGTAAAAAAATCAATTTTAGTCTTACTATTTTAAATATTAGTAAATATAATAAAAATTGACGTGCTAAGATTCTAAATTATACAATAAAATTGCTGAGTTGTTTTTAATTGTTTATTTGTTAAAAAACAATGTAGGTTCATGAAGGTAACATATTCCGCAAGTTGTATGATAGGGACATTTATTAGCATTAGAGATTTCTGAAGGATTATACAATTTTCAAAGCTATATATGGAACCCGTAGTCGTGCTTTTGACAAAGAAAATTTGAAAACTTAGAGTTTAAATATCAGTATCTATGCCTGAATAGCTTTACACGGATTAATACTTAAGTTGTACGGTTCTCTTTGTAATCTGTAAATAGTTTGCTAAAGCAAAACTTCGCATAGTAAATAAATATTTTAAAGCAGTAAAAACATCTAGTGGTTTCTATTTTATAGAGCTGACGAAAATGGCTCATATTAATATTTGATTATAAGGAGCCGCGAAGGATAAGTAACATAAACTTATGAAGCTCAAAGTCTAGATTTAATAAAGATAGTTGTTCAAATGATAATGACGATCTAGTAATCTGTAAACGCTTTACAAAAATAAAACTACACATAGTAAGAGTTTATTTTCAGACACTTTAATATTATGTATGTTTTAAATAAACATAAAAGCAATTAAATAATCTTAATCTTTATCATAAACATAATTGTGAAAATATCACAATTATAAAATGCTTAAAACCTAATTTTATGATCATTGAATAGCACACCGCGATTCAGTTGTTCCTCGAAATACGATTTTAATGCGTTCCCTAACATTACGCGAATGCCAGATGCTCGTATCTGAAAGCAATTTTCTCAGTTGAAAGCAATAAAAATGCCATTATTCCGTTCCGACTCCCAAAATGCCAGCCCATTTTAGTATTGTTTTATGATGAAAAGTGTATTGTACAAGATAAATACTGTTAAATAGTAAAACAATATAAATAAATTATGCATGTGTGAAAATGGTTTTATCTAAAATGTCAATTTACCCATACAATAACTAACAACAGACGATACTTACAAGGTAGATTAGGATCTAGTATGGCCTTTAGCTGCCATTTTTTTTCAGATGGAATATCAATTGTTGCTGAATGAATGAACAAAAATAAAACAATTCGATGGAAAATAATTTGTGTCAAGGTTTTGATAGTCTTTGTAAATACGCAAGTTAAAATATTTTGTTACATTGAATTACATAATTTAGTTAACTGATCACACTGGTTACGGCTTTAAAAAAGTACAATTTAAATCACATATTAAATTATTATTCCAACTGCCACTCATAGTCACAAAGTGCCGTGCACTCCGCCAATCCCTGCTTCACTATCCCGCCCAAGTTCCCTGTTGCGTCGATTTCGGCATAACCCCTACATAACAATTCCATAGATTCGACTACTTTGCATGCCCTGAATAACTCTACTTTCCTTGATCAACAGGATTAACTAAGTATTATATATATATATATATATATATATATATATATATATATATATATATATATATATATATATATATATATATATATATAATATAATATATATAATATACAAAGCATTAGTAAATGCTTCAAGCGTTTAGGTAAAACGTCAACGAAATTTAGGCGGTTAATATTTTTATTTTCTATCTTTTTTTTTCCTTTAGAAATAAAACAAAACTATTTTTAAAAAGGTGTACGAAAAACGTCAGTATAAAAATAAAATATATTCATATTTCTAATAAACATGTTTACAATGTGGAAACGAAATATACGACTTTAATATATCTGCATACTTTACCTAATTCTTTTTTGAGGTCTGATAATATTTTTTCTGCTGCACAACGAGCTGTGTGTTAAAAAACAAATTTCAATAAGAGACAAACGTATGTATTATTGAATTTAATGTACCTCTTTCTTGAGGCTTTTTAAAATGTGTGCACATTATTAATCCCTTCGATAACAACAGGTATTCATTTAACTTTTTTTTCTGCATGTGCTCATGTGTTTTATCTTGCTACGACTCGGGGTCGAAACTGCATCCTATATATATATATATATATATATATATATATATATATATATATATATATATATATATATATATATATATATATATATATATATATATATATATGTATATATATATTAGTTGTGTGTCATTGCTTCGCTATGATGTAAAATAAATTGGTAGTAGTTTTCTGAAGAAACAAGAGCACACAATGTAGGTCGACAAAACAAATAATAATCTTACTCTTAACAATATATATATATATATATATATATATATATATATATATATATATATATATATATATATACATTACAATAAAAAGCAATAAACGCAACACAATGTGTTAGATAATCCTTGTAAAAAATGTGACATAATGATTCCTGGAATAATAATTAAGTCAAGAGGACTACGGGACATAATTACTCTCTTAATATAGATATGAAAATGACAACACATTTTATTGTAAATGTCAAAACAGACCAATAAATGCTTAGAATGTAATATCGTAGCTATACTCTATTCGTTTTTACAATAATATGTTGACCACATTCAGAATTAAATATATTGTCATCATAATGCTAAAATATTACAGCATAATGAAAGTTTTCTAAACCAGAGTTGGTATAAAACCACGCTTTTAGTTTTACCTGTTATAATTATACAATTTGTGTTTAGACTACCTCAGACTTAAATTTTATAATTTTGATACCTCCAAAATTTGAACAATCAGAGGTCACATTTAATTTGGCTACTTTTTCTGTAGAACTATAGCCTTTGTGATTATTTATGCTATGCAATGTCCAACTGCTGTGTTAAAATTGAAAGGTTAGTGGTAAAAATATCATCTCTGTATTTGTTGGTGCTTTTTTTCTTCTACTATTTGGGGCCTAAAGTGGTAATTAGTATAAATTTAGTACTATACTGAATCCCCAGGCCTTTAAAAATCACAATTTCTCTATTTGTCAAAAACAGAATATACAAGGTACATACCTCGATGGCAGGCTTCTAATTTGTTTTGCAACTCTGCGCTTTCTTAAAAATAATTAAAAATCTTTATAAGTATGAAAACAATTAGGAAGCATATTTATGTCTATATAAGTATAAAATATAGAATAAAATAGTTTTACAAATGGAAAATACCAATAATGAAAATATAAAATATTATAAATTTATTTAAAAGGATAAACATAATACACTAACATAGCTTGGGGTATGTTAATATTTAAAAAGTAATAATACCCTATGTTTTGAGCCCTCATATACAGCTAAATTTAAAATACTCATATTTTATACCTTGACGATAGGCCTTCAATTTTTCTTCCAACTTTTCTTTTTTCACTGCACCTTAAACACATACAATCTATTTAAAAAGAATATCTAAGAAAATTTAGAATTATTTATTTGCTCTACAAAAGTGGCTTAGAGTATAATTAACATAATAATTATATTAAGAAGCAATCATTTTTATAAGGTTTATTTTGAATGTTTAAATCGAACTGCATTTACTATTATATACATGTTTATACATCCTTTGTATATTTTGTTCTTTTCTAAAGGAGTGTATCAATGATTTTTTACGCACAAGTGTTGTTTATATATTTAAATATGATCTTATAAAAAATAAGCATTATTCTCGATTTTAGTAAACACACAATATTTTTACAATTCGACAAACCAAAAAGGTACTAACTTATTTCCTAAGATTTGATAAACTGTATTAATTTAAATTTAGAATTTTGAACAAATTTAATTAACACAATTGCCAATAATAAGTTACACACTTACATTGTTGAAGCGCGCATTCCATTTCTCTCATAATATTTTCTTGCTGTTTATTTTTGTTCTCCTCTTTTTCTGTAATATATTTATTCTCAACATGTCAGTCATTATATCAGTTATAATAAACTGTCATACTACTAACTATTTAATTTTTTTATTACTTGCTTTGAAAAAAAAATATTGAAGAAATATTTTTTAAATGAATGTCATTATCTACATCTATATACTACTAAAACTCAAGTTTGTTTACATGTTTGAATATTTATTTTTTTGTTTGTTTGTTTGGCTGATTGACTATTGTACATGGTTGCACTCATCGTGGAGAGCTGTAAAATAGTATGTAGGTAGAGAAAAATTTTTGTTTTAAGACAGACTGTTAATCACACATTTATTTAAAGACGTTAATTAATTTATTGATTTATTCATAGGTAGAGTAACCCTATGTTTTTAAAAAGATTAGAACGACCACTACACTCGGCGGGACCGTGACGTCACAGTTTTTTGTTTACTCTTTAGTACAATAAAATGGTGGCGTCTATCGAAGAAAATTGTGTTCCCATTCAAAAGTTAAACGCGTTCTAAATCTAATTTTCTGTCGGTCATAACTTTAACAATACGTTCCAACACTTATATCAATTTTCAACTGTCTTTTTCATTTAGTTTTACGATAAATTTCTCTAGATCTACAATCTGTCCAAGAAAGTTATTTATAGATCTAGATCTAGAATCTAGAATCTAGGTCAAATCAAAGATTTATTAGTTATAAATACAATCCAAAAAAAAAACGAGACTTAAGCAAACCAGTCTTAGATCTAGAATATAGATAATTCTATCTAGATTTAGATAATAATGAGTTTCTATATACTAAACTATTTTAGACCTTTATTATTTTGTATAAATCTTTGTTTGGAATATGGTAATTTTGAAATGCTCGATCCCGGGCCTATTGGCGTAGCTTAAGATTCATACGCGGCTTCGATGCCGGTAATTTTGCTAAATTATAAACGTAAATTCTAAATATAGCTCAGTCGTAGATCTAAAATATAGATAATTTTCTATCTAGATTTAGTCAATAATGATTTTCTATATACTAAACTATTTTAGACTTTATTATTTTATATAAATCTTTGTTTGGAATATGGTAATTTTGAAATGCTGGCTCCGGGATTATTAGCTTAGCTAATGATTAGATCTAGATCTAGATTCTAGATCTAGCAAGAAAAACTAAACTTAAGATTTAAGCAAACGAGTCGTAGAATCTAGATCTAGATAATTCTATCTAGATCTAGATAATTTCAGACCTTCTTTATTTTATATAAATCTTTGTTTGGCTAATTTAAGATAAAATTTAATTTGAAAGTTACTGCTACTAGACTTAGTTCTAGATCTATGCGCGTAAATGAAGTTGCATAAGGAGACTCAAAGTATAGTATAAAAATTCACTTGTGACGTCACGAGTAAATAGCTAAGTTGGTAGTGTAATCGGCTCTCATGCGGGTGGCATAGGTTCTAGACCAATATGTCAATGATTTTTTTTTTCAATTTTTTTTTTAGATGTGAATGATAAAGTTGCCTATCTGAACTTGGCAAGATACAGGGCAGGTGAAGTAGAGTTCATCTGTTTCTTTGTCCTAAGCATATGAAAGGATAGTGTGGTCAGAGACATGCTCGGCTGGAATCGTTTTTTAAACAATAAAAACATGTTGTCTGAGACTTGGCGGGACACTGGGCATGTGAAGTAGAGTTGAGTAGGTCACCTATGAAGTCAGTATATGAAGGGATAGTCTGAAATCGGTGTTTTCGGTGTTTTTAAAAGATAAAAAACATATTTTTGAATGTGGGGTCTGTTTTTTGTGACGATAAGTGACACTGCAGTAGCGTAGCGAGGAAGAGGGGGGGGGGGGAACATATGTCCCCAGGCGCCGACCTTAGGGGGCGCCAAAATGGGTTGAAAAAATAAATTGAATGGTTGAGGGGGGTGCAAATCGAAAGTTTGAGGGGGGGGGGGCTGTGCAAATCAAATCTTCCGGGGGGGGGGGGGGTCAAATCGAAAAGTTTGTCCCCGGGCACCGGGAAGGGTCGCTACCCCTCTGAGTGTTAGACGTGATGTTTTTTATGGATGACCCCCGAAACCCACAGTTATCCAACGGATGACGGGTAGTCTAGTATATTCTAAATATGAGATGTTCATACCTTTTTCTTTGTGGAGCTTTTCATATGCGTCCTTTCTATCAGAACATTCCATTTTGAGATTGTCAAGCTCAGTTTGTAGTTTCTCTGTTTTGATACACAACAATGACAATCATAAATGTACAGAATGGATACATATTTAAACTACTATGATATGACAGCTATTGCGGATTGTTTACATTACGTTTATTGGTTTGAAATGTACCTGCTTCAAATTGTATACTAACTAAATTTGTAGAAATGTGTAAAATGTGTCGAAATTGTAAAAACAAACAAAGACAATTAAACCAATCTGAATTTTTAAGAAACACATTATTAATAGTAGAATATAACATATATTCATTAGTTTAACATTTTCAAGTAATGAGAATTTTAAGGAATAACACAAAACTAATGTTTATTATATTCTAAATATGATATGTTCATACCTTTTTCTTGGTGGAGCTTTTCATATGAATATTTTCTATCACAACATTCCATTTTGAGATGGTCAAGCTCAGTTTGTAGCACTTCTGGTAGAATAAAAAAAATTGCAAGGTAAATTGAAAATAAAAAATTTAAATTAGAGACTTGTGAGAATTTAATTAATGAGTGTCTGAAGTAGAATGTAAAATAGTAGCATACATGTGCGAAATGAAAAAACGTTTTAAAAGTAACAAACACAAATGTTTATTTTATATGATTTATTAATTTTCTATAGGCCTCCCTTTTTCCTGGTTGAGTTTTTCACAAAATGCCTTACTATCAGAATACGCTTCTCTGAGCTCAGTTTGTAGTATCTCTTATCAATGTTAGAAAAAATCAAAATGAAAATGACGAATTATTTAAGTATTACAAAGAAATGAATTACGCCTATTGTTTTTATAAAAATTGATGATAACTTTTCTAATCTTGTAAAATAATAGGTATTTCATTCTCATTCAGTTTGATTAAATTTAAAAAAAAATGAAAAGGAAAAATTTTCATGTTTAACTAAAAAAATAAGTAACTTTTAAAAAATAGTAAAATAGTGTTAAAGTTTTTGATGACCTACCATTCTGTTTGAGCATTGCTTTACTACTTTTGCAAAGTTCACACATTTTTCCTGCTAATTGATCTGTTGGGTAGTTGTTTGTTATTAGAAATTTCTTATATGTAGGATCTATTATTTGTTTTCTTAATTGAATATTTGTAAAGTTAATAAGCAAAAAGTGTTTTTAATAATTGAAATAAACAGTTTATGGGATGATAATAATAATTAAATACTTTTGAATGGTTATCACATGTGTATATGAACAGACTTTGTCATAAAAGATTTAACATTTGTGAACAATAATTTAAAGAAAAACTATTTCTTCTTAATGTACTTGTAACATTTTGAAATGTTAATATATATTATATATATATATATATATATATATATATATATATATATATATATATATATATATATATATATATATATATATATATATATATATATATATATATATATAAATATAAATATAAATATATATATATATATATATATATATATATATATATATATATATATATATATATATATATATATATATATATATATATATATATATATTAAAATTGGGTAATTGATGTACTTGTTCGTTTTTTATTCATCCAAACAGCAAACATATTAGCACAAACTTTTAGACTTTCCAAGACAAATCGTTATGGAAAAATATCTAGATCAGAAAAAAAATCTACAAAAAACTATTTATAATTTTTTTTTAAAAAGTTCAAATTGATGATAATCGACAGATGCAATTTTAAGTCCAAAAGTTATAATTTAAGAGAGTTATATTTTTATTACCAACATGACTTGAATCACTAGATAGAACAGAGTTTGCCTCAAGATGTTGTTGTTCATAAGATTGGTTTTGTTCGATTAGATTTTGTTTTACCTCTTCTAATTCTTTTTTAAGTCTTTCTGTTTAGTAAATTAAAATATCAAATGAATGACTTCTTTTAAAGTAAACTATTATAATGCTAAGATAAGGATTAGTCTTTTAAAATGAGATTAGGCATAAAATACTAAGGTTAATTAACCAATAGCATTTTCTAGCAACATAATACTTCTGTTCTACTAATTCCATATTTGTCCCATCTGATTTCAATTATCTTTAAACATCCAAGCCATTTGTTTATTTCTATATAGCCTAGTGTTTGGGCAAGTGAATTCAAACATTGATATTTACACTCATCATAATTATTTGATAAGTAGAAATGCAAATAAAAAATAATCCAAAAAAACATGTTATTTCACCTACCTAGTTCAATTTTCAGTTTAAGTGATCTCATCTCTAAAATTGGATCCACTATTGGTTGAAAAAACATAAGATTAAAATAATTTGTCTTTAAGCACAACATACAGATTCATAAATATAATGTATCAGATTTCTCAGTGGTAGCTAGTTGTTGTTAACATAAAATCTCTTTAGTCTACATGTAGAACTAAATATTGGATGTAGAGACTAAGCAAATCAAATTGTTTTCACATATGACCTTGTATTATTTCTCTTTTATTTATTGAATATTAATGATTTCTAGTTCAAAATAATGAATCATATGCAGTTATTATTTTTCATATTTGATGTCCAATGCCATTTTCTATTTAATTTATAATGTTTATAACTCTTTACTGTTATCTGTTACCTCTTAATTTGTTAAGATTTGTTGTGTGTGGAGTAACACGCAACACTGTAGTTAATCCACTTGTCAACACTGACATACCAGCTAACCATTCAACTGTAGTTTGAGTCTTATGGAAGCAAAATTATTAGCATGCCGAAGTATGGATTTTATTTAAACAAATATATTTTGGTAATACATAATATTGACAATAAAAATAGAGTATCTATTAAGCACATCAACTTGATTCTTATTAATTAGAGTTAAGAATGTGCCTTTTGTCTTATAAAACAAGACATGTCAAAGAGTTTTGTTTTTGTGTAGCAACGTCAACAAAGAATAATAAACATAGCTAATAAAAATGCTTTAATTCACGATTTAAGATGTCATGTTACCTCATCATCCGATTCCTCACTCAAAATCTTTTCATCTAATAAACCTGCAATTTTTCAAATTTTTACATTTAAAATACTTTGATCAAATTTTAATTGCAAAGTACATTATAATTATTATTGACCTACAACATGACTTTAAAAGATTTTAAATGACCCATAAAACTCTAAAATGCTGAAAGTTTATACCTTTGATCACTTCCATTTCATGAGCTACATGAGACAGACGTACATCTCTATCACAAAGAACTTGTAGCAGACAATCGTACCATCCCTTGTACAATACAAGTCTTTCAAACAGCAACATGCTTCCTTCTCTGTCTCCTTTCTTATCAGATAATTTTTGAATGTTCTCCTAGGAGTTAAAAAAAACATTATAAATAAAGACACATTATCTCAATACTGTTTTCACTAGTTATTGTATTAAGGGTATAAATATTTAAATACTTACCACATCAATTTCTGTCAATACGTTGATGTTGTACTTATGAAACAAACTAATGACATTACATATTTTCACAAAGTTAATAAACAGATGAAGAAAGGAAGGCTTCAAGTGTTTCAAGTATTCTGGATCTAGAGTTGTCTCATCCATTTCATAATGTATTGAGCTTAGGCAAACAGGAAGGTCTCAGCATCTCTTTTAAAACATTATTCAGAACCTGAAGAGTTAATAGGATATATATATAAATATATATATATATATATATATATATATATATATATATATATATATATATATATATACATACATATATATATATATATATACATACATATATATATATATATATACATACATACATATATATATATATATATATATATATATATATATATATATATATACATACATATATATATATATATATACATACATACATATATATATATATACATACATACATATAT